TGATTACATAAAGAAATAATAATTTCTTGGATATATGGTGTTAAAGAGGATATTTAAATTAATTTCACCTGTTTCTTTTTACTTTTTCAAATGTGGCTACTAGAAAATGTTTCAGTCCACCTGTAGCTTGCATTTGTGGTCTGTGTTATATTTCTACTGGACAGTGTTGGTATGGACAGCGGGATGTTGTGGAGGGTTTTTGAGCCATAATGGTGTCAGAGCTGCTGTGGCAAACACTGCTGGCTCAGCCCAGCCAGTATCTGTATTCTATTTCTTCTGTACTAACCAAATTCTGTTTGTGTTTCAGAATAGAAATTGTGTTTGTGGTCTTGTGCTAAAACGCTCTTTTCTTTAGCTTCCCATGGAACCCAGTTCTTGCCAAAAAGGTACAAATGGAAGTCTACCGGATGGGGCATCTGGGAAAACTATTGTTAACTTGAGAAAAAAGGGACTTGGATGGCATGTGCCTTTTGCCCGTTGCTCTGCCCCCTTTTTTCTACCTGTAATACAGACACAATGTCTAGAGGTGGAGCAGCCTCCTTGGAACCATGAGGTTCACAGCCATACACTAGGAGTGGTGGAAGAAGCAAGGAGATTGGTTCCTTGAACAGCGTCACCAGCCCAGCACTGCCCACCCCAGGACTCTTTGTGATGTGAGCTGAACAAACACTTCTTTTGGTTAGGCTTTTGCACTTGGGTTTCTGTTACATGAGTTGAACATGAGCATAACTGATCACCATCATTACATTTTGGAGTCAACGCAGTGGATATTTATTGCATTTTCAGTCTGTTGGTCACACATTGGAGCATTGGAGCATCCTTGCTGTGTTTGGAGAAATTTCGACATTAAGAGTAGAAAACGTCTTAACGGGCCTCTCCATGGGAGAACTCAGAAAACACCAATGCTCACCCTCTCAGCAGGAGACTCTGCTGATCAGACTGACGTAAGGGAGACCAATTCAGCGAACCCAGAGGAGGGGGATCTACGTGTTTTGCCCCAGTAGCCTTTTAATAACTCCTTTTCTGCTTAGTCAGCTGGAGTCAGCCTCTGTCACCTGCAACTGAGAGGCCTGATGACCAGCTGTGGCCTGGTGAAGGTCCTGTTCCTCCAGAGTCTCTTATTCAACTCCAGTTCCCCGAGAAAAGACACAGAGCCCTGAACTCGGCAGGAATGGCCCATCTGAGATCAGGCACTTCCTTGCTCTGTGACCCGGGCAAAATGCAAGACAGCTCTTATTAGCTCCACCCATCTCTTCTCCAGAGGCCACCACACTGCTGGGCTTTTTGAGTTGAAGTTACTGATGAGGAAACTAAGTCAAAGACCCGACCTGAGTTGGGAAACATAACAAGTGAGGAATTGCTTAGACCTCAGCCTTCTGACTCCAGGTCAAGTATACTTTCCAGCTTGGCCCTCTGCCTCCAGCCTAAGAAAGTGTATATATAGAGTTAGACAACCTGGATTCAAACCACTGCACCAACACTTACCTGCTGTGTGACCTTAGGCATGTCACTTAACCTCTCTGAGCTTTGGTTTCCTCCTGTACAGGGCTAGCTTCATAAGTGTGTGACCTGTGTGGTCACACAGGGTCCCCTCTGCTTAGAAGGGCCCCTCACTGGTCCGGCCCCGTGGCTTAGCTGTTAAGTGCGCATGCTCCGCTACTGGCGGCCCCGGTTCAGATCCCGGGCGCACACCGATGCACTGCTTCTCCGGCCATGCTGAGGCCGCGTCCCACATACAGCAACTAGAAGGATGTGCAACTATGACACAACTATCTACTGGGGCTTTGGGGAAAAAAAAAGGAGGAGGATTGGCAATAGATGTTAGCTCAGAGCCAGCCTTCCTCAGCAAAAAGAGGAGGATTAGCATGGATGTTAGCTCAGGGCTGATCTTCCTCAAAAAAAAAAAAAAAAAAAAAAAGGGCCCCTCACTTAGTTTCATGCTTTGCTGTTGCCATCTTGAAATTCTTAAGTTTTGAACAAGGGGCCCTGCATTTTCATTTTGCATAGGGTCCTGCAAATTATTTAGCCAGTCTTGCTTCTTAAGAAATAATATTTAAATAATAAATATTTAAATAATAAACCTCAAAGGTTTGCAGTGAGAATTAAATGAGAAAACGACTCTTAACGTGCTTAGCCTGGTGCCTGGAAATAGTATATTCTTAGCAAATGATAACTGTTCCATGTCGGCGCAGGTTAACTTTCGTGAGCATCTTCCCCTGGCAGGCTAAGTGCCCACTCCCTTACTGATGTCCCTATATTCAGGTTCCAAGTGGAGACAAATTTGACACCCACTGCAGCATCAAGGAAGTGAGAAACCTTAGGCAACCAAGAATTCCCAGAGGTGGGATTTTGTTTCAGTTCTTTCCAAATATAAAGAAGGCACATTGTACTTCTCCTGTGACTTTCACGCTGCAGAGGAAATTTCCTAGAGAACTGGAGGATGAGAAATCCAGGCCATATGATTAGCCAGAAGTGCCACAGGCTCACAGCAGAAGCTCTGAGCTCCTCCCTCTCCTGAAAAGCTGACACCTTCCTGCACTGCAAAGAACTGGGGTTTGGGGGTCAAACAGACACCTCCCGAATGTGCCTTAAAGTCCTCTGGACCTCACCTCTTATTCCAGCCGCTTCTGCGGTGACCAGTTCCAGGCTGACTCCAACCAGCTTTGTGCCAGGGCAACCAGACCTGTTGTGTGGGATCCGCCACGCACCTCTGTCCTCCTGTGTTGGGAGGACACACATCCTGATGCCACGCCCGGGGCACCCCCAGAGGCTGCCCAACCCAGAAGTGGGCAACAGCGAATGCCTGTGAGGCCACTCCTGGCCAATGGGGGATGAGAGCCGATGGATAAATGCTTCCCCTTCAATCCCCTCGGCAGGCAGCTCCGAAATACAGTTCACAAGGCCACTTAGAAGACCCTAGTGGATCACGTAGCGGCTCCCAAAGCACCAGCCAACTGGTTTCCTCTTCCTGTTCCTCACTCCTGCTCCCATGGATCTCACTCCCCAATAGTAACCCCTTGCAACAAAGCTCTTGTCTCAGGCCCTGCTTTCTGGGGGACCCAGGCCGAGACAATCCTCCTGACTCTCCTGAAATGAGATTCATTCATAATAACGTACCTCCACAGAGATTTTTTAAAAAAAATCAATGTAATGCTGTATCTGTATTTTAATGGAGAAATAAAAAGAAGTAATCTATAAAAAATTAAAATGTCTTTCAATTTGTACATGTTCAGGCAAAACTCCACCAGAAGACCATGGGGGAGCAGTGTGGATACTGGCACCTTTGTGTGGACTCACCCCGAATGTTACTTAGAGGTAAGAACCCTAGAAGGGGGGTCGGGGGACCTGATTCTAGGAGTCAGCTCTGTGTCATTCGAGTCCTTTTCTCTGGGCCTCCGTTTCCTCAAGGATAAAATGTGGCATTGAACTGCATGCTCACTAAGGACCAGTTCTGCTCTATTTCCATGTGGTTTTCTGATCTTCTGACCTTTTCTGAACACTGGTTTTCTTGTTCTGGCCTCCCTCCAACTGTTAGATCAGCCATCAACAGTTGAAATAATAAAGTTTGTACTGAGGATCCATTCCTGCCAGGCAAGAGAGGAGACAAAGTCTTGCCAATATGGAATTTACATTTTGGGAGGAGGTGGGGGTGGGGAATAGCTGACAGGTAAACAACGAAACATAGAGTGTTCCAGATAGTGAGAGCAATGGAGGACGGTAAAACAGATAAGGGAGTGGCAGGCCAGGGAGGGTTGCCGAGTAAACAAATTCCTTGTGATGCTCATCCCAGAGAGTCATCTGTGAGAGCCAGTGCTCTTTGAACTGCTCCCGTTCGGAATGCCTGCTGTTCCAGTCACTACTGCTGCAAAAAGAATGGCCCCAAAGTGTAGTGGTTTAAAACAATAATTATTTCATCATCTTGCATTGTTTCTGTTGGCCAGGAATTCAGGAAGTGCTCGGCCAGGTGATTTTGACTTGGAGTTTCCCCTGCAGTGCTGTCAGACAGGGCTGGAGCTGCGAGCCTGGGAGGCTGGAGCATCTGGGGACTGCCCGGGCACCTCTCTCTTCATGTAGACTCAGGATTTCTCCAGCGGGTCTCTCTAGTGGGATCATTTAAGCTTCCTCATGGTATGGAGGCCTCAGCACAGTTAGACCAGTTATATGATGGCACAGAACTCCTGAGTGTCCCAGCAAACCACACAGACATTGTAACACCTTTTGTGGTGGACAGTCCCTAGGGAGGTCACAGGATTCTTGTCCCCTAATGTCTATCCCCTGTGTAATCCCCTCCCCTTGGGGTTGGCAGGAACTGTGACCTGATTCTAACTAATAGAATATGGCCAAGGCAAGGGGTTGACACTCCCATGATTATGCTATGTTATACAGCAAAGGAGAGGGGACATCATTCCCATTATTATGTTATATTATATGGAAAAAGTTTAAGGATTTTTTAGATGCAATTAAGGTCCCTAATCAGTTGACTTTGAGTTAATCAAAAGAGAGATGATCCTGAATGGGCCTGACCCTCTAGAAGAAGGCCTAGACCTTTCCTGAAATGAGACACTCTCTCTGTCCATTGCTTGCTGTTATGAACTGAAGTATGTCCCCTCCCAAATTCGTATGTTGAAGCCCTAACCCCCAATACCTCAGAATGCAAGTATTTGAAGATAGAGCATTTAAAGAGGTGATTAAGTTAAAATGAGGCCATTAGGATGGGCCCTAACCTAATCCAACTGGTGTCCTTAAAAGAAGAAGAAATTAAGACACACAAAGAAACACCAGGGATGCATACACAGAGAAAGGACCATGTGAGGACACAGCAAGAAGGCAGCTGTCTGGAAACCAAAGAGAGGGGCCAAACCTCAGAAGAAACCAACCCTGCCGACACCTTGATCTCAGACTTCCAGCCTCCAGAACTGTGAGAAAATAAATTTCTATTGTTTAAGCCACCTGATCTGTGGTATTTTGTTACAGCTGCCGTAGCAAACTAATATACTCACCTTGAAGAAGTCAGCTGCCATGGATGCTACAGTCACAAGGAAATGAATTCTGCCAAAAACTGAAGGGAGCTTGGAAGTGGATCCTTCCCTAGTTGAGCCTCCAGATAAGAACACAGCCCAGACAACACCCTGATTTCATCTTTGAGAGACCCTGAGCAGAGAATTCAGCTAAGCCATGCCCAAACTTCTGACCCACAGAAAGTGTGAGATAATAATAAATGTTGTGGTAAGCTACTAAATTTGTGGTAATTGGTTATGCAACATAGAAACCTAAGCTATCTTTTAGGATCCAGCCTTGGAAGTCACAGCACCACTTCCTGCTGTGTTTACTGGGTACAAGTGAGCCAGAAGCCCACCCAGATTCAAATGTTGAGATGGGAGGTATTGCTGTGGCCAGATTTGGAAAGTACAGCCTGTGGCACCTGCATAATTGAATTTTAATTTGTGGGTCATATTTGAAACTGTAGCTTGCTTTCTGTGTCCATATCATCTCAATTTACACTGCATGTTTTCTCCAATTGGTCTTCACATGGGCTTCTACTGAGGCCTGTTTGAGCCCTAGGGAGGATGTCTGTCTGTCCCTTTGAGGAGCCCCTAACATACACAATACCAGCATAAATTATAAAATAGGCTTTTCTAAATATGCTCTCCATTTCTGATGACTCTTCTGTCAGGCAGTTTCTCGTGATGTCTCAGTAGATAGAAACATTTCTTTATTTTTATAGATGAAAGCATGAGCATGGTGGGCAACTGGAAGGGTATATGTCTTGGCACCCTGTGAAGTGCCCCCTGAGATAGGTACCTTCACCCAGTTCTAGGGGCGTACCTGCTCTGAGAAGCCCCCAGTCTGGACTTGCACTGTTCTTGAGGGCAAAACAAGAAAACTAGAGTCCAGGGCCCCGGCCCCCGGCTGAAAGGCCAGAGATGCCCTCGGCTCTCCATTAGCCAGGCCACGGGCTCAGGTGCCTCCAGCTAGGTCGGACCTTGGAGGACACTTAGGCCAATCAGACATCTGGGCCTCGGTTCTCTTCTACAACATCTCCACCTAGTGGACCCGGCAGAGTGCTTCTCCAATGGGGATAATAATAACTCCCAGTGGCCCCAGGGAAGGGAAGGGCAGGTTCTACCCAGAAGAAAGAGACCATTCATCAGCTTGAGTCTCCAAACTGCCTTCCTTGACCTCTTTAGCAAGACAATAGTCTTGACAGCCAGGCACTGTCAAAAGAAAAGGATTTTCTAAATTCCTCTAGTTTCATTCTGATATTCCAGCTTGGCTGACTAGATCATAGTTTTACCCTAAGACAGAGCAGAAAGAAGCCAAGGTATGAGGCAGAGGAAATGGGAGTCCATTCCTTCTACTGCGGGAGACTGTGGGAAGAAGAGAAAGGCAGGGGAAGCAGAAGGACCAGCCAAGGCCCAGGATGTGGGTGGTCAAGGGCAGGGCCGAGAATTCTGCAGAGCCAGTGACACGCTTCCCCACGTGACCCAAGTGGAGGCTGACAGGATCTAGAAGCCCACCAAGTGAAATCTTCCCACATGGCACAAGGTGAGGGGCAGCAACCCTGACAGAGCAGCGCTTCTGGTCCCAGGGGACCCCAACGTTTATGCACACGCTGGTGAGGTGACCTGCAGGTACCGAGAGGGCTAGCACAGTGGCCTGCAAGGGAGACAAAGAGGCCACTGCAGCTGAGTGCCTAAGACCAGGGCAAGTGGCCAAGATCCAGCATGAGCCTGGCCAACAAAAACAATATCTAATACTACCGAACGCTTAGTAAATGCGGGGCATTGCTCTGAGTGCTTTCCACTTATTATCTCATTTAATCTTTGAATTCATCTTGTGAGGTCGGTACTATTATGATGTCAATTTTACAGAGGAGGAAACCTGCCCAAGGTCACTCATCGAGATCAGATAGGATCAGCCAGACCTTAGCGGTCCCAAGGTCAAGAACAAAACTAGGGCAGGGCAGAGGCCCGGGAGGATCCAGAGAATTCTATATGCATATGAGGACTCTTCTCTACCCCACTCCCACTGCCACTAGGACCCTGAAAGTTCTTCTGAAGGAGAAGCCGCGAGGGTGGAAATCTGAAAAACTGCATTTAACTCACCATGGCCCAAATGATCTAAGGAGACTATTTAAATTGTTGGATTAGACTGAGTTTGCTGGATTGGCCCGCCTTTAGTTCTGGGTTCTTTGATGGACCCAGTGGGATGGGTCCATAAAAAATATGTCATATTACTAGGTCAAATTAGGTCAGGAAAAATTAGGTCATATTATTAGGTCAATATAGGTCTATATTATGTCAAGTACGGAGGAAAAATACAGAAACTTAATTTTTTGCATGTTTGAGTGGAGTGTGAGTCAATTAATGACTTCGTTTCTTCATTTCTTAGCCTGGCCTGTCAAAGGCGCTATTTGGTCTGAACTTGAGAGTCAGACAGTTCTGGGTTTGAATTCCAGCTGAGGTGCTCACTTGATATTTCACTTTGAACAACTTATTTAACCCTCTAGAGCTTCATTTTCTTCAAGTGTAAAATGACCATCACAAGTGTACATCGTTTAGACCAGAGGCCAGCAAACATTTTCCATAAAAGGCCAGAGAGTAAATATTTTAGGCTTTGCAAGTCATAGAATCTCTGTTGCAACTATTCAGCTCTGCCTCTGAAGCACAAAAGCAGCCACAGGTGATCCATAAATGCATGAGCATGGCAGTGTTCTAATAAAACACTATTTGAAAAAAAAGACAGAGCCAGATTTGGCCCAAGAGACTTAGCTTGCTGACCCCTGGGTGAGAGCAGAGGCCACATAATAACAAAGAGAACAGCCTCGGGGGTCAGGGAGGCAGCAGGGGTGCCAGTGAGGTGGCCATCGGCAATCATCAAGATAAGAGACAATGGTGACATTGACTAGGGCGGATGTGGTCAGACGCTTGACATATTTTTAAATGGAAGTGTGCTTTTATTTTTGCAGCTGAGAAGATTCACGACTTTATTCAGTTTATCAAAAGTTGATCCTCCAAAAAATTATGAATCACTGCGTAGGCCAGTCACATTTGGGATACAACCACAGTGGGAACCACTTAATTTCTGAGCATCATAGCAAATAGCTCCACACAAGCAGGCACTAACAAAATTCACTGTCTATTTTGTTACACTCTGAATCTCCAGGGCTTAGCACAGCACCCATCACATAGCAGGCCCTCAACAAATGTTTACTGAATGAATGAATGAATTTCCCCAGCGAAATGCAAAAATACAAGAGAGTACATTTTATAGCAATTAACACAGAGTCTGTCCATAAACCAAGCCTTTGTGTTACGTTCCATGCAGAAGCACAGCTTTGGCTTCAGAGCTCCTACTATGTAGACTGACAGCAAGAGTCCCAAAGTGAGATGGAGGTGTTGGCTCAGCCGGCCCCACCCTAGCTCCAGAGGCCACAGCCTCACTTGCCCCTTGGTTGTGCGTCAGAAAATCACAAGGCCATGGACTTTTACTGTCTTCATTACCTGGAACCAAGATGGTTAGAGCTGCAAATTCCAAGGGGGACCATGTGCACAATCTTCTGCTTTAAAGACAACGCATAAGCAGGAAATTGCTGGGTCTACAATCCTTGGGCAAGACATGCTGCGATGGTTAATTTTATGTCAACTTGACTGGGCCATGGGGTGCCCAGATACAGGGTTAAACATTATTTCTCGATGTGTCTGCGAGAGTGTTTCTGAATGAGATTAATATGTGAATCAGTAGACTGAGTAAAGCAGATCGCCCTCCCCAATGTGGATAGGGTTCCTCCAATTCATGAAAGTTCTGAACAGAACAAAAGACTGAGCAAGAGAGAATTCACTCTCTCTTCCTGAAGGTCTTTGGGCTGGGACATTGGTCTTCTCCAGCCTTCAGACTTGGACTGGAACTTATACCATTGGCTCTCCCAGTTCTCAGGTCTTGGGACTGAAGATATTGAGATTCCCAGCCTCCAAACGTGCATGAGCCAATTTCTTACTATCTATCTATCTATCTATCTATCTATCTATCTATCTATCTATCATCATCTATGTATTTATCTATCTATCTCTAATTGGTTCTCTTTCTCTAGAGAACCCTGACTAATATACATGTCATCTCTGGGCCTCCGCTTCCCACCTAAAACACAAGGGTGCTGGAAGAAGAGGCCTCCAAAGGATTTCAGGCCCACGTGAACCATGTCTCTGGACTCAGGCCTGGTATCTTGCGTCCTGGACACCAGAGGGAGTGTCTGGCTGGTGGCAGGAGAGAGTCCCACATCAGCGACTACTGATCGGTAAGTGAGAAGCAAGAGAGCGTGGAGGACAGCAGAAAACACTGGTCCCGGCGAGTCCTCACTGCAGTGAGGGCCGGAGTCAGGGATGACCTCTCCAGCTTCTCATATTACCCACCCAGCAAAACAGACACCCTCACCCTTCTTGTGTTCCCCCACCCCACTACTGCATAGATATATATATACTTTACTTTGAATGGAGTTACAGGAAAAACACAGGCTTTGGAGTCAAACACATGTAGATCAACACTCATCGCCTACAAAGCTATGGCTTTTTTGTATTTGTGAATTAAAGAGGGAGTGCAGCACAGTGGATGAGAGTACACCCTCTGGTGCCAGATTGTCCTGGGTTCAAAGCCAGGCTTCTCCACCTGCTGGTTGTATGACTCCAGACAAATTTCTTAACCTCTCTGTGCCTCTGTGGCTTCATCTGTGAAATGGGAATAATGATTGCAACTGTCCTGCAGAATTTGTGAGGACTAAATGAGATAATAGGTATAAAGCTCCTAGAACAATACCCAGCACTGAGCAAGTGCCACGTAAGAGTTGGCTATGATCAATATTATCTGTGTGACCTTAGGCAAGTGACATGAGCTATCTGAGTCTCAGCTTCTTCATCTGTAAAAGGAAATAATAATATTGACCCTGCCCATTGGTTATGAGGATTAGATGCAAAAATTTATATATCATGTAAACTATACAGACATACAAACTAAAACGAGAACAGGG